TCTATAAGATCCCAATCTCAAAAGTGGAAAAAATGGAAAGGCTGATTAGCTCTTTTGTTAAAAAGTGGTTAGGTCTCCCTAGATGCATGAGCAGCATAGGGCTGTATGGAAAAGGCATCCTAGAGCTTCCGGTGTCCAGCCTGGTAGAGGAGTACAAGTGCTCAAAAGTACGGCTGGGAATGACACTGATGGAATCCCGAGACCCTTGCATAGCCCAAATAGCTCTGGCCCTTAAAACTGGAAGGACATGGACTCCAGCTGCAGCAGTACAACAGGCTAAGTCAGCTCTGAGGCATCGAGACATCGTTGGCCATGTACAGCAAGGGAGAGGAGATTTTGGCCTTGGAGAGAGTAGACCATTCTGGCACAAGACAACCTCATCTCAGCGGAGGTGCGCCAGCAAGAGCAAGCAATGTGATGTACAAAAGTGATCTCCCAAGTAAAGCAAGGGCAGTGGATGAGATGGGAAGGAGTTGAGAGGCGAAAACTCTCTTGGAAGGAACTGTGGGGCATGGAAACATTCCAAATCAGCTTCCTTCTACGAGCCACTTATGATATCCTGCCTTCACCAGTGAACCTTAACCAACTGTTCAGAGAAGATCCTACGTGCCCCCTTTGTCCATCCTCAGCAAACCTGAAACACATCTTGGCTGTTGGCTGTAAGGTAAGCCTGATGCAAGTATTCTAAGCTGGCAGTTGATGCAAAGCAACTTGGCTGGAAAACAAAGGTTTGTCCAGTTAAAGTTGGCTGCAGGGGCTTCGTAGGGAGATCTGGCATCAAACTGTTTAAGGAACTAGGAATCCGAGGCCAATCCCAATGTCAAGCTGTCAAGGCCCTTTCCAGTGCCGCTGAACAAGCGAGTCGATGTCTATGGATTAAGAGGAGGGAAGCCGTCTGGACCTGGGACACCAGTTGTTGCTGATGAGCCCTATGGAGGTGTTGTGGGCTGATATCATCGAAACACCAAGGAAGGGGGATGCCCATCTGATGACCCCAATGAAGCTGAGACCTCCTTCCCTCTATACCTTCTCCCCTCCACCCCTGGTACCACCACTCAAAATGATCTACACTGTTCCCCACTTATCTCAGGCAAGTGCAATAGTAATACAGGATAGTACCACCTAGTCCTAAAATGCAACAGCAAATTGAATATCGGATCTGACCCCGAACTTTTGAATGGTAGTATATAAAGATTATGTAATTGGTTAGACACTGCTGTGATGATGTTATTGCTAATGAATGAGGAATCAAGTATTTTTGCATTGAAAATTGTGTTGATATTAGATATTTTAATGCTGCCACACAGCTTGATTAATTATTACCAGTAATGCACATTTGCAAGTATCAGTAATCTACGACTCATGGCATGGGTATATAATGATCCCAAGATGTGGGCAGAGAGAGACTTGGGCTATAAAGTAGAGAATATGTTGTGCCTGAAGAAGGCTTCCACTAGCAGTGCATTAGCTCCAGTGCGGTCAGGAGCAATGGCTGATGGTACATTACGCACTCAAGAGACCTGTGCCATGGCTACTTTTGTTGGTAGAGTTGCCAATAACATACACAGGTATTTGAGCAAGGCTTGTGACTGTGTCCAACGTATGTGTCATTTAGCACTATTGTGCAAATTTGGTTGCCTATATTACAGCAACCAGTTTTGCTGTCATAATGAGAATGACCTCTGGTGGTGAACTACCTTTGACCCACAGCACTTGAAGAGCTACTTAGACATGTTTAGAGAAAGTGTCTTTCACAGTTCTCACATTTGAACTAATTCTTTAGACCCAGATTCAATGAGAAAAAAAACATTTTGTTGCCAGGCAACACAAGCTGTTGCAATGGATTTTCAAAGTCACTAAAACAGACCCTGTGCAGGCATTGTGTGTGTGTGTGTGTGTGTGTGTGTGTGTGTGTGTGTGTGTGTGTGTGTGTGTGCGTGAGAGAGAGAGAGAGAGAGAGAGAGATAAACTGCAAGGTTTTTAAAGAAAGTTTTAAACACTTACTTTGCTTTACAATACAATGCAACTATAACAATACACTTTTATTTCACAACTATAGCTACATGCTCTGTGTCTCTTACTGCTTATTTCTTTATTGGGACATACAAATGTATTTGTGTGTGTCTATATATATATATATATATATATATATATATAGACACACACAATATTTTTAGGGCAGTGGTATTTCATATAAAATCTATTTTTATTATAATACACTGTGATGTCAACGCTGAATTTTCTGCAGCCATTACTCCAGTCTTCAGTGTCACATGATCCTTCAGAAATCATTCTAATATGATGATTTGCTGATCAAGAAACATTTCTTATTATTATCAGCGTTGAAAACAATTGTGACATGGAAACAGTGCTACATTCTTTGACGATTAAAAAAGTTTGTAATGTATTTATATATACATACTGTATAAACATGTATTTCAACATATAAGTAATTATACATTTTATGTTAATTAATTAAATTTTGAATAATGAATACTTTGAAATGGAGTTCAATATTTTTTCAAAAGAAATACCACTGAACTAATGGAACTGCTATGTCCAAAGTTTTAGCCTTTAGTCCTAAATCAAAGCTCTATGTTTGAAAACATATGAGCGTCACCATAGAGATGTTCTAGGAGAACACTGACATTGTTTTTAAGTGTCATCAAAGGTCTGCCACAGTGGCACTATATTGCAGCTGCAATACAAACTTTTGCACTTTTGGTGCAAGCCTCACCCTTTCTCCTCAGTGACAGCAGGGATGTGGTATGATCACAGACGGGATTTTTCCCTGAATCCCATTCTCAAAGCTGCTTAATCAGATGATCCGTTTGGTCCACCACAATGGCAGAAGACTGAACAAAAGATAGAGAGAGAGAAAAAGAGACTTAATGTCTGACAATTAAGAAAAATGGGGGCAAAAACAAAAGTGTTGCGTTTATAATTTTGTTCAGTGTAGAAAACGTGACAAAAGAAGAAAAAATAAAACAACTGACCCGCATAATGAAATAAATCAACCACTGAAATGGTTTCATATTGTAGCACTGATGGTAAATACTGTAAGACGCAGACTTATGTTTGCTCCTATGAAGTAAACAAGTACATTCAACATTTGTTCATTTTTCATGTACTCAACATAGATCAGCATTACACTCCAGCTTTTCAGCATAAAAAGGCCTTTCTGTCCACTGATGTAATCTATTAAATTAGTGCTGAGCTCAAATTAGAAAGAATTTTGTTTTGCAAAGTTTGACATATATACTCCAGATATCGCTTCAAAGGTGATTTGAGAGAGTTTGGATGAGATATTTCACACTATTCTGTCATCATGTTGGTGATTCGTTCAGATCATGCTGTTCTCCCATGGTCTTGATTTTTGCCACGTGATGGATACATATCGACCCGATAGCGCTGAGTTCTGAGCAGCTGGTATTAGATTACATTCTTTCACTGTCCTGGGAAATGCAAGGAGTTATATTTAGACATACAGAGGTGGTCATCTAGTTTGCCTGTGCAGATCATCATCATGGAGGTGGATAACAAGGTCACATGACTACCAGTGACCAGACACTATTTCTGCTCTGAGAGATCCATCTGCAACATATCAGGAGCAGTTTTGTATCTTTCAGGCACAGCTGAATGAATAGGTTACTGCATTTATGCCAGCATGAATGATGACAAAACCATTGCATTTGTACTTTCATGAACTTTTTGCATCAAATCTCTCCTTGTGACAGGAATCTAAGTAAACCAATCCAATCTGATTGCGGGTTTATAAGAAAATATAAAGTCGCAGTTCAGAATTGTGAAATATAAACTCACAATTGCAAGAAAAAAAGTCAGAAGTCACAATTACCTATTTTTTCAGGTAAGAAAACTGCAGAAACTGCTTTCATCGAGTGATTCCATGGCTTTTTAACATCATAATGTATCGGACTAGCATGCTTGAATCCTTTTTATTCAGTTCAGAGTGGTGCAGTGGCTCAGACTGCACAAGCTCACTGAGGGATTTAACTTAATAAAAATATAAAGGACTACACAACATTTGCCTTGTTCATGTTGGATTAGCCAACAAGAAATACATCTATGATGAAAAACCAAATTTCCTTCTGTACTGTGCCCCAGTGTGATTTTATTAAGCTCTTATCAAGATACCGTTTTTGCTATTTATGGAACTGCTTGTATAACATAGAAAGAGAAGGATTATTCATTAAGGTTTATCTTTCATGTACTGCATGCATCATAACAATCTAATTATGTGGTTCTTTTTTTAATTTCACTGTTGCATATCCAGAGGCTGCACATCAGCTTCACAGAGATGGTCCACACAAAGAGGATCCATATTAGATTACAGCAAACATATATTTATACACTCATGTCAGACTGAAATTATTATTTGATGAATATGACAGGCTCTGTGAGCATGAGGAGTGTTGCCACTCATGAGGAAGTCATGCAGTGCAGCTTGCGCATTTTGATATTAAAATAGTTGAATTATTAAACTTGCTAAAAGTAAAACTTAAATAAATATAAAGTTGTATAGAATTATATAAAAACCAAAAATTAATAAAATTAAAAATATACAAATAAAAGCAAATTCAAAATATTGGTAGATAATAGTATAATTACTAAAATAACACTGCTAGGAATCTATAGTTTGGATGTAGACCGTGTATGACAGTAGTTTTGGCTGGCGTGTAAGTGTGTGTTGTGGCTTGCATGCATATGCTGTGGCAGGATTAAGGGAAGAGGTTGTTTAATAGTTTTATGAAGCTGTGCGCTGATGCTGGATTTGAGCATTAACAATTTAATCTTCCAGTATATGAATCTCATTTATTATGGGTGGCTAGAGAAAACAGGCCAAACTGAAAAAGCTTTCTTCTTGTGGAATCAATTTCTCGTCATTCCTCTCACCCACTTGTTATTATAACCCCCCCCCCTCTCTCCCTCTCCCCTCGTGCCTTCTTCTCCCCATCCGCTTGGCTACTCTTCTTGTTAAGGGTGTCCCAATCTGTCTGAGCACCGAGTGCCCATCCCACTCTCAAAGGAGCTGCACACACACTCTGGCAAACACACTTACCACACTGGCAGTCAGAGCACACACAGCTCCATTCACCAGTTATAAGACAAGAGCCACTTCCAGTTAAAGGACATAAAGCCCAGATCCGAGCTCCAGTATGGATGCGCTGAAGAAGGGATTCTCCATGGCTAAGGAGGGAGTGGTGGCCGCTGCCGAAAAAACCAAGGCAGGGGTGGAGGAGGCAGCTGCCAAAACCAAAGAAGGGGTCATGTATGTAGGTATGTACAAATTCAACTGAGGGGAGAAAACTGAGAGAATTAAAGTAAGAAAAGGCTTTTTGTATATCTAAATTTTTCATTATATTTCTTCCTTTTTTCTTCAGTAAAGTGTAGTGGAAATATAAAGTCATTTAAAATGGTATGGTGTGCCATTTGCATAATTAAAAACAATGCCAATTACAAATTTACAACCCAATTGTAATTACAAAAGCATATTTAAAGGCAATTTTTTTGACAATTTAAATCTTTAATATAATTTAATGTAATATAATTCATTATGTAAACAAAAACAAAATATCACTTTCAGTTTTAGATAACTGAATTATTAGCCAATGATGATAAGAGTCCTGCAAATGAAAACCAGGGCAATTAAGATAAATGTAGGGCATGAGTCCATTATTACATGTGACTGCTGTGCTTCGTCACTACAAGCAAGTGAACAACAGCAAGCGTTCAAAGCCTTAGATTCAGCTGAAAACAACACTGCTAAATAACTTACATGGTAAATAGTACCATGGTTATTTACTCCTGAGCGGTAGCTTTCTACACGTTTCTACTGTCAGTAATGGGTGGAGAATGAGGAGGGAGATAGAAAAAGATAAAGAAAGACAGAAGGGAAAGGACAAGAAGAAGAAAGGAAGCACTTTGTGTTTTCAATTTCAACTTCAGGATGCAATCAACCGATGAGCTGTCAGTGGCAGATACATTATGAAGAGAAAAGCCTGATTGAACTCCATTTATATTGCATATTAAACGAATTTGTAAACTATATGATACAGTAGTTAACATTGTTGACGTCGACATTGTAGTCTGATAACAGTACATAAGTATGCCTAAATATGCTGAACATCTTATTTTTACATTGTAACTGCTATATTGTAGGACTAATTACATTGACTAATTACATTGACATGCAATATGGGTAACAATTAACAGTACAGTAAGGTTACTGTAAAATATTGCATCTTGTACATGACTTTTGGCACAAGCATTGTGTGTAATACATCATTTCTTCCTGGTTATGCTACTATGCTGACAGGAGCACACAGTACTGTAATCCCATTCCCTTCCGGTCCACTTCACATCCCGGTCCACAGAGACCAGGGTCTGCCCGGGTCAATACACAATCTTTAATGATTGTAATGGCTCTCAGTGTGTGTACACACCAGTAACAGGAGCCTGTCACTGTCTGCTTTCAGCGTTTAAGAGCATAACTTGTCCTCCACATCAGAGAAAGGAAAGAACAATGTGCTTGCTATTACAAGGAGCTTTGACTTATGTTGGCGAGGAGGAGAAGGACGTGTGTGTGTGTGTGTGTGTGTGTGTGTGAGACAGGATGTGTGTTTGTGTGTGTTACAGCTAGAGGTACTAGCTTCCCTCTGCACCACACAGACGATCTACTTTAATCAGAGAAATCTCAAGCCTCTCAAAGAAAAGCGAGGTCACTTTGCACTGAACTGTGACAAATTGCCAACACATACACACCTCCCTTGCCACCCTAGAGACTCAAATACTGCATACACATAGACATCTACATATATACAGTACATACAATTTATTTTTTAGTTTTAGTTTAACTAAACTAAATGAAAATTAGAAATTAAATAAAATGTGAGCTGAAATAAAAATGGAAATAATATTAAGTTTACTTTTAAATTTTGTTTACGTTATTTAATTTAATGTTTATTTTATTTCAAGTAATGATTTTTTTATTGTTTTAGTTTTAGTTAACAATAATGACTGTTTAGTAGGACAAGGTCTGAGACCCCATTGAAAATCAGTGGTTCAAAATCAAAATTTTGGGGTAAAGTTTTAGGGTTACTTTTTTTTTTTACGTTATAATGTAGAATTAATAAAAAAAATATTTGAGATTTTGCACTACTGATCATGTGACTCTTTGTAAAGACAGTCAAATGATCTTCCATTGAAGATGCTGTTTGGATCATGCTGGAGACCATGATCATCAGGTTTGAGCTCATGATGCTCGAGTGCTGCTATCAATATAGCAAAAGAGCGACAAACCAAATACTAAAAAAATTTGAAATACATGTTAATGTTTCACTCATATTATGATTATGATACTGCATAACAAACAAAAATATAACAAAAATTATAATACATTAAAAAAAATCCAGATGAATTTAACTACTAGTGGTCTCAGAAGTTTGGACTCCTGCTGTAGACCAGGCTGAGCTCACATAAAACTGTCACTTTAATTTCTGTTGCATTATATAACACCAATTTCATCACAGAACTGTGTGAGCACAGTCCAGCTTAATTATTTTTAATACCTAATTCCATTAAGTCTCTTATGGATCAGAAATTAAAGCATTGGGATTGTACTAGAGAGAGAGAGGTGATGTAATTCAGATTTAAGAATAGAATACAAATGAAGATACATGGCATTAAATTGTGCCCTGTATAAGTACAACTTTTAAATATAAATCCTGCTAGCATTTACATTATTATATATTAGCATTATTATCTGAAAAAGTGCTGTGCCATCTTTGTGTGACACGATTAAGAAACAATATCTCAATAATATCTAATATCTTCCTCTATAATCTATGCTCAACTATATTTAGTATATCACAGTCTCCTCCTCTTAATCGCAGCAGCAAGCTGCAGCAGTAGAGACGTTTTATGCTTCGTCACATAATCAGAGATGCTGTGGAAGTGACATCATATTGCAGCAGTGGTCAGGTGACAGCAATACTCTCAATCTTTATTGATTATATTATTAATAATATAAGATTGCAGGCTTGTGTTTGTGTTGCAAGCAGAGACTAAGCCCTGAAGGATGTGCATGTCTTGATAGTAAATCAGCTCTTTGTCCAGAACAACAAGGACAATGTCGCGTCTCTCTTGAGGGATGTATTTGTTGTGTTGTCCCAGCACATGCTGGGAAGGAGGAGCGACTTTCACAGACACGTTGCTGTGGGCTCAAAGGTTCTGGGAAAGAAACAGAGCTTAAGCTTGTTCTACGGGCCATTTGTGCAACGCAGATTCTGTACAAGAGATGCCAGGGCCTTTCAGAGGCCGAAGTGGGATTTTCCACTGTTAACATGTATGAAGCGTCTCAGTAGAAAGGATGTCTCTCAATCTGTAATGCTTAATAGCATTTAGTGATGCCAGTCAGCATTTACTTGCCATGATTTTGTAGAGTCTCTTGGGTACTGGAGAAAGCTGGATCCTTTAGCTGAACTGCCAGAGGAGACTTTGCACAGCAGACTAAGTGTATGGATCCCAGGACAGAACAGGAGCCAGAGCTGAAAGCAATCAATCAAGGATCAGACATCTGTCTAAAAATCAGATGAAATTAGGTACAAGGTTGTGAAAATGTCTGAGAGCTTTAAGGGATAGTTCACCTCAATAGGAAGATTCTGTCATTATTTACATAATTTGCTCATTCCAAACCTGTATGAATTGCATTCTTCTGCAGAACACAAAAGAAGGTAGTTTGAAGAAATGTCTCTGTATTTGTTGTACGTGTTGCTTTAGACTTTTATTGTACGGAAAAAAATCTTCTTTTGTGTTCCAAAGAAAAAGTAATTTTTAGTTGAGCTAATACTTTAGTGTTATTACTTCGCAATAAATGTTTCTTTTTATTTTTCTGACAGGCGCAAAGACAAAGGAAGGTGTTGTGACAAGTGTAAACACAGGTAAAAGAATTAATAGAAACAGGTCTTAACTAAACAAAACACTCAACATGTCATTTTCCTAAATACCCTAATCTATGGAAAGTCTCAAATCAAAATATAAGGACACTTCTTTTATCTGTCCTAGTTGCCCACAAAACAACTGAGCAGGCGAATCTTGTGAGTGAGACTGCCGTGGCTGGAGCCAATCAGGCGTCAGAAAAGGCGGTGGAGGGGCTGGAAAGTGTGGTCGCATCCACTGGCCTCGTCAAACCGGTAAGGATTCAATTTGCACAAGGCCAATAATTGGTCAAATTAACCGGACAAAGTGTGTAAAAATTAAAACATTGGTGTTCAGTTGCATTGGTGTCTTTTGGTGCACTGTATTGTTATTTGGTCTTATCATTCAGTAAAACTGCAAATTGCTTAAAGGGATAGTTCACCCAAAAATGAAAATGACCCCATGATTTACTCACCCTCAAGCCATTTTAGGTGTATATGACTTTCTTCTTTCAGACGAATACAATCAGAGTTATATTTAAAAATGTCCTGGCTCTTCCAAGCATTATAATGGCAGTGAATGGTGGTCAAGATTGTTAAGCAAAATAAAGTGCATCCATCCATCATAAAATGTACTCCACACGGCTCTGGGGGGTTAATAAAGGCCTTCTGAAGTGAATCAATGTGTTTGTGTAAGAAAAATATCCATATTTAAAACTTTATAAACCTTAATCTTTAGCTTCCGCTAACTATCATAGGCATGTTCACGAGAGAGAGGCATTCCAGCAGATGATGTAGGATGTAGACATAGCGTAAGCTCTGGTGAGAAATGACGAATGTGGAAGTGCAGAGGTAGTATTAGAAGTACAAAGCGAGGATTTGTACATAAAAATGTCGGAGGATTTCGATATAAGCCAAGAGGAGTGTCACAGAACTGCCCTCTGTTCCCAGTGTTCCCCTTGCTTAACCCCTTTGTATAAAGACATGAACACGCACTTGGGTTTTTAAAAACTCTTTATTTACCTTTGTTTGTCAGTGAGGTGGATAGATGGATTACATACACACACCTCTACACACACCTACAACTAGACCGTTGTGTTTCAGACTGGCCACCTGAACACTAAACCAGTGGACATTTAAACTTTTCTTATAAACTGTTGACTATCACCTGGATCAGCATACATGGTGGCGGCCATATTGAACTGATTTACTTAACAGTGCAAGGGCAGACTTTCTTGTTGCATGTGGCTGCCTTGAACCAGTTACCTAATGAGGTAATACTGGGGCAAGATCTCCCCATTCTCTGTGATTTGGAGTCCCAAGTTCAGTCCTGTTATGCGGTAACCTGGGCCCAGAGTGCTAGAGCAGTCTTCAATAAGTTGCCATTTGCTGATGTTGACACTGAGGGGGCTGTGAGAAAAGACAAATTTCAAAAGGAAAGGCGTAAGCTTAAGTTTGAAGGTAGTGTGGAGAGTAGGCAGGTTGAGGAGCTGCCTTTGCCAGAAGGGCCACTTAATATGACTATCCCTGAGGACATAGCTGAACTGCAGAAAAAAAGATCCTACTTTGCAGGACTGGTTCCAGAACGTGTCTGAAGTAGATGGGGTTAGATGGGGTTGTCTCTTGTTTAATGGAGGAAAAGTACATCCTGAAGAAAGGTATACACTTTCAGGTGAAAGGTAGTTGGTAGTGGCATTGGTAGTTCCGGAATCAATGCGCCATACCGTTATGATTCTGGGACATTCTGTTCCATTGGCTGGACACTTAGGCAAGCATAAGACATTAGCCAGGATTGCAAGTCGGTTTAGTTGGCCTAAGATATATATGGATGTAACAGAGTTCATTCGTACCTGTACAGACTGTCAGATGACATCTGGAAGGAGAGTTGCACCCGCACATTTGTTACCATTGCCAGTCATTGACACACCCTTCAGCCGCCTGGGAATGGATGTAGTGGGGCCCCTAGAAAAAAGTAAGAATGGGAACAGGCACATTTTAGTAATCTGTGATTATGCCACCAAGTACCCAGAAGCCTTTCTCCTTAGAAACATAAAATCTAGAAAAGTAGCCAACTGCCTTGTACAGCTGTTTTCCAGGGTGGGGCTTCCCCGTGAAATTTTAACAGATCAGGGTACTAACGCCACATCCTTGCAGTTAAAACAGGTGTACCAACTGTTGGGGATTAGGGCTATTAAGACCACACCTTACCACCCCCAGAATGATGGTTTGGTCGGACGCTTCAACCAAACCCCAAAAAGCATGCTGCACAAGTTTGTTTCCAAGTCAGGGTCCGACTGGGAACAATGGTTACCTTATCTGTTGTTTGCTTACAGAGAGGTGCTGCGGGCTTCCACAGGTTTCTCCCCATTTGAACTGTTATATGGCCGGCAGGTGAGAGGTCCTTTGGACCTGCTTTAGGAACAGTGGGAGGAACCCAAGGATGGTACTTGCAGTGTGGTCCAATACATGATCCAAATGAGAGAGCATCTGGAAGAGATGACATCATTGGCCCAGGAGAACATCAAAAAAAGCCCAGCAAACTCAGAAAGTTTGGTATGATAAGAGGGCAAGGGAGAGATCATTTGATCCAGGCCAAAAGGTGCTGCTATTGCTGCCCACCAATGAGAATAAGTTGCTAGCTAAGTGGCATGGACCCTAAGAGGTAGTGCGGAAAACTGGCAGTGTCACCTATGAGATCTCCATGCCAGAGCAGGGGAAGAAAAAGCAAATCTTCCATATTAATTTGTTGAAAGAGTTCTACCCCAGGGCTGAGTCGGAGGCTGCACGACTCTTTGTTCGTGTGGTCGAGGAGGAAGAGGAAACAACAGATAAGCATTTTCCAACCAGCTGCACCAAATAAGCAGTATCCCATCTAGAGCAACCCCAAAGAGAAGCAGCTGTTAGATCCCGAGCGGTTTCAGGAGAAACCTGGGCGTACTAACCTGGTGACGTCATCCTTAGAAGGCAACTCCAGTCTGCCAGAAGAGTTTTCGGATCCCTGAACGCCTGGTAACGGTGCTTAAAGATGAACTAGACATTAGGCTCTCCATGGGTGTTATTGCACCCTCCCTTAGAGAGTGGTGTAGCCCCATTGTCCTAGTCCCGAAAAAGGATGGCACCCTTAGATTTTGCATTGACTTCATCGAACAGCTTTTCTAAGGTAGACCTCTATCCGATGCCAAAAATTGATAAGTTGGTGGAAAGACTGGGCAGAACCAAATACCTATCCACTGTGGGCTTATGCAAGGGGTACTGGCAGTTTTTTTTTAATTGCCAGCGCCAAAGAACTGACAGCTTTCAAAACCCCTTTTGGGCTATACCATTTCTGGGTTATGCTGTTTGGCCTGCAGGGGGTGCCAGCGACTTTCCAACGATTAATGGATCAGATCCTGCAAAGCACCAGGGAGTTTGCTGCAGCCTATCTGGACGATGTGGTCAGTGAGACCTGGGAAGACCATTGTCAACGTCTGAGGCAAGTCCTAGGGAGAATTAAGGCAGCAGGTCTTACCATCAACTGAAGAAATGTACAATAGACAAGAGAGATATCAGCTACTTGGGATTTGTGATTGGAGGAGGAATCATCTACCCACAGCTGGAGAAAATAGATGACATCCGAAGTTACCGTCCTCCTACCACTAAGAAACAGGTGAGATATTTCCTGGTCTTGTTGGGATGGCAGATTTATACCTAACTTTTCTGCCAGGGCCTCTGTGCTTACAGATCTCACTAGAGCCACAGTTCCCAACAAGGTGGTCTGGACGGAGCAACGTGAACGAGCTTTCCAGGACTTACGAGAGGCAGTGTTTGGAGACTCTGTTCTGCTGAGCCCGGATTTCCAGAAACTGTTAATCCTGCAGACGGATGCTTTTGGAGTTGGGTTGGGGGCGGTGTTAATGCAGAAAGTGGATGGAGACTGCAGACCAGTGGCATTCTTGAGCCGGAAACTGTTCCCTCGAGAAACACTACGCCTACGTCCTACGTCATCCGCTTGAACACCACTCTCTGGTGAACAAGCGTATGACAGTTAGCGGAAGTTAGAAATTACAGTTTATAAAGTTTTAAACAAATATATTTTTCCTACACAAATGAATCCCCCCCTCCCCCATTTTTCGCAGTTCCTTTCATTAGAGTTCCAAAATTGTTTTTATTCATTTAAAATCTCATGAAGAAATAAGCCATAACCATGCGACCATTACCAGTCGATGTGCAGCAACAAAATAATTCATGAACATCTGAAATCTTCCAGAGAGTAATAATAACAAAATGAAATGAAAATGAACAGTGATAAAGAATCGTCCACAGCTGAGATGTGTTGATGTGTTTCTGCCTCCAGGGGGAGCTGACGAAGCAAGAGGGAGATGTAGAGCAGCCTACAGACGCTGGACAGTAGGTTAGAGAGCAGATGATGAGCTTTTCTTGAGTTGGGATTTTCTATTATGCAAATATTTACAGCAAAATAGCAAAACCTTTAAAAAATCTCTTATAATAATAATATAGTATATTCTCTGAAAGTAATTCACAATTTTGCTTCTCAATTACATTTATACAGATTAAGCACTAGTAAGAGATAAAGAACTATTAACTAGTAGTTTTGAAATGTAATGTGTTTTGAATGTAAGTGAATTTAGAAAAACTTTCTTTGCAGACATTTAAAAAGCTGTGTTCTTTATTTAGCATATTTTTTATGTATTCATTTATTTATTTACTTTGTGTCTGACTCAGTACATGTGATAATATTATTACTGAAAATGCACATATGCACAGTTTTTTTTATAAAATCATTTTGTGACTTTCTTCAAACACTGAACAAAATCCAATAATTATTTAATTATCTTTGAATGAACTTATTCACGGCAGTCATTTGACAATAAGATCTCAAGTGTCCTATGACATTCAGTAGTTCATGTAGTTTACAGTCTTACCATACAGATTTTATGTCTACAGTCCATTACAACACAGCACATGTGCTTCAAAACAGTGCACAAACAGGCTTTAAAACATAGCTCAGTGTTTGATGTGTAGCAAGTTATCCAGTTGTTTCTAAAATTATATTTTCCAAATTTTGAAGAATCATCTACACAGTATGTCCACTGAACCAACATAACCTTCCTTCTGTTTCGTTTCAGGGAGATGTCACACTGAACGCCCCTGTGATGCTCTGGTTCTTGACTAAGAAGAGAGAGTTCATTAGCTGCTGCGGGCCATGGCTGAATATTATCATACTAAACCTCTGATGGATGCTGAATAATATTCAACTTCATAAAAAAAAATTTTTTTTTTAAAAAGACACCCACCTGTCTCTCTTGCTTTGTCCTCACAAACTACATCTACTTAACTCAATTTACCACTTTCCTTCATGCAAACTTATCCTATTCACAAGAAGAAAAAAACGCTCATGTAACAACACTATTATTTAGCTATGCAATATTCACATATACTGAGCAGTGCGTCATCAAATTTGTGCAAATATTACATGCATGTGCTTGTGATTTGGACAATTTTATAGGCAAGGTCTGTCTTTCTTACCTGCCCTAAAACTAGTTTTCCTCCACCCAAAACAAAGAGGTCAGATGGATAGTGATTTTACACAATCAGTGTGAGAAAAGATTTAAAATATTCCAGTCCAAATACACTCTCAATGTAGTTAGTATCTGAGAAGATATTTGAAACAAGGAGCAGAAAAAGTCAGATTCACAGATTCAAATCCAAAGAAGAGGGCAACTGATGTCCGTAAAGCATGAAGATAGCTCGTTAAAACAGTTCCAGTATCTTAAAGTGTGGTTATAGAGTGATGGTGTTTTAGTAAAGCTCTTATATGTAATTTGCTATAGCGGCCTTTTTTTTTATAGTGGCAACTCATAAACAACTCACAAAATCTGCAAATGATGTCAGAGCAGTTGCTAGGTTACATGATTTGTTTGTGGAAGCCATGCATGCTGCCTCACAACTTCACTTTAACTGATCATATTAATTTACCTGACTCATTGTTTCCCTTGAAGTCTGAAAGCAGCTGATTTTTTTTTGAATATTCCATCTGTAATAAATTCAGTTTTGTGAAAAATAAATCTATTCTCATTTTTCATCCTTGTTTTTTTTTTTTAGAACAGAATGTTGCTAAGAAAATTCACAAGTCTAGTTTGCACAATATTTAAAGCATAAAATAGCAACAAAAAAAAACGAATTTAAGAACATTGAAAGCATCAAGACGCACACCCCCTTGAGATCAGAACATCCCTCCTGCTCTTCCTCTCCCTGTTCCTGGCACACCCGCATATAGAATTTAATATGCATCTCAACAACAAACAAAACCTTTACCACATTCATATAAAATCCCATATGGCCATTACAATACCACCGAAAAGCACTATGCCTCTGGCAGAATGTCAACATTTATTAAGTTTCATGATCTGCATGTGTAATCCGAGTTCAAAATGAGAGTTATTAAGCTTTTTCCACATTCCTTGCTCAGAGGAAAGTCATTTACACCAAAACATAAACAATGCAACAGGGGGGTATTCCAAAAAGCAGGTTATGTGACATACCCGGGAATGTTTGAGGATAAACGAGCGGATAACCTCAGCTTTCGGTTCCAAAATCGGAGGTTACTTTCAGGGTATGTAAGTAACCATCTATATATATATAATAGGCTATATTACATATTGTAATATTATATAACGTTGTGCGCTATCTGTCACGCCCACTGAAGGCTAGTCAGTAGATCACACGTGCGCTGAAGTGAACTAACCCTGGAACATAACCTGCTCCGGAGCAGGTTATCTTCAGAGAGCAAGTTACTATGGTTACTTACATACCCTGAAAGTAACCTCCGATTTTGGAACCGAAAGCTGAGGTTATCCGCTCGCTTATCCTCAAACATTCCCGGGTATGTCACATAACCTGCTTTTTGGAATACCCCCCTGATGTCAGAAATGTCCATAACAAAATTACGACAACAATCAAAACCCTCTATATCCCTGAAAGTCTCGACTTCCCCTGAACAATAAAATAAAATAAAATAGTAAAATAGGACAAGAATCAAAAGGACTCTTAACCATCTTAAACTATCTCAACTTCCTCTAAACAATAAAATAACATAGAATAAAAAATAAAATAAATAAATTAAATTACATAATTAAATAACTATATGCTCTTGTTTAACAAATTATGAGTTATGCTGAAACCCTGACTGATGGTGTTACAGGAAACCAGATAAACCAGTCAAGCAAGATTGACATCTTTCTACTCCACCCAAACTGAAGTAGCCAATAGGAGCACACATTCCTGACGTACTTTGATGGAGCACCAGCCTAATAAAACTGCATGAATCTTCTGTCTCAAAACACTGACACATACACACGCTCTTGCAAACATCAACAACTAAGGACTCTACAAACATGTCTTTCCTTTCAGGAGTTTTGGGTAATAAAGCAGCAGAGTCATTTGTCGACCAGGCTGTGGACAAAGCAGGTGAGGTTCTTATGCCTGAGAAGCTTAAAGAAACCTTAAAGCAACTGTTGTGTGCAAAGTTTTTATACTTTTTATGCTGAGACCCTCTGTGTCCTTGTTTAGCTGGCCAGTTGTTATGAGTTGTTTTCGAGTTGTATATTAATCTTCAAGGCTAAAAAATATATAGATGAGACTTTTTCTGAGATTTTATATAGATTATATATAAAGTAGCTTATGTATTTTCCCTAAAAATATTGGATAAAGTAAACTAACATTTATTTAATCTAACTTTTAGCTATAGTTAAAAAAAGACAGAAGACAACAACTTTTAAATTATTTATTTCTAATCTTTTTTTACAAACTCTCAACTAAATATGTAATAGAAATGTGATATCATGACTCATTTAACTGAATTATATTAAGCAAGTTGTTTTCCCTCCCTTTCAAATTGCCATGTTGCTTGTTTTAACTGCTTTCAAGTTTGTACTTGTTTTAAGCCTGCTGATTGCAGTTTGTTCTCTATGAAAGAGCTGGTTGAAATATTTTTTGAGAATGCAGTCAGTCCAGTAATCATGCCACTCCTTATAAGGAATGGTGTTAGAATGAGCCTTCAGAGCCAGTAACGCTATCCAAGTTTTTTTTTTTTTTTTTTTTAGACATCTAAGAAAAATAAACATTTTGGGGCAAATCTGATGGGAAAGATGAGCTGTATATGAAAGACTATAAAACTGCCATGTGTTACCTTCATATAATGTTGCTTTCAAATTTCCCTAGCTGCTGCAGCTAAAAGAAAAGTGAAGGAAACATTTACTGGAAAAAAACAGGAAACTGATAAGACCGGGGGTATGGGAGGTCTTTTCCCAAGTAGCGAGGAGAAGGACAAGAAACCAAAGGAAAAGTCAGGAGGTGGACTATTTGGTGGCCTCCTTAAAGCAGAAGGACCAGGGGAAAACAGCGGCGGTGGAGCCTTTGGTGCTGGAGGCAGCAATGCAGTAGACAACAGTGGAGCAGACAGCAGTGAGTAATAAACAAATACATACACACACACACACATCCAAAGAAAAAAAAAACTGTCAAAACCTGATGGGTCTTCCAATAACGTAAATCCACCATGTACAAATATAATAACATATTAATATTTTGTGTTTGATTAGGTTTCAACGATGCACTAGATGACCTTGCTAATGAGTTCTGTGAAAAATGATGTTCTGACAACAAGGAAAAATCTCTTTGGCTGAGTTCTTCAGCTGGAGACCTGTCTTACATCAGCACAATCTCCAAGTGTCATGGACTATAACAATATAAGACAGTCATTTGTTACTAATGTAAATAATTTTAAACCGATGTCTTTGCAATATCTTATGTACAACTATTTTTAAAAATACTAGAAATTATGCCTATTACATTCGTATTAGGTATTGTTTAAATAACTTAAGTTTAGTTAGCATGCTTTTGTTTTCAAAACTGTGTGATTGAATAAATGTTGAGTGAATAAAGCTGAATAAAAAAAAACTTTTTATTACTAAATGAAAAAGGTCTCATTTTATCCACTTACATGAGCATTGAGTATAATCACATTACTTTTTTTTGGTCAATATTTTAAAACATTTCAAAGTACAAATACAATTAACCCAGTAAATCAGCTGACACACTGCAATTTTTATTTACATTTTATTAATTGTAGACCATTTAAAAAGGCAATACAAAGTCTTTTTTTTCCAAAGGCTGTTTCATATTAAATGCTAATATTGCGATGAAAATAAACATTTGCTCCCAAATATATGCCCTACCGTTTGCATATTATTAAGAAATTACAAATTAAAAAACAAAGGAAGCTTTTGGTTATCACTGAAAACTGTTCCAAGGAGCAGCAAAAGCAGATATTTATGTGCAACATTTTGGTAACAGATATAAAAAGCCTGAGATTCATCCTGCATCCCTTTCCCACTTGACCATAATTGTGTCAAAATGGGTGGGGAAAAAAGTAACCAACTAGAAATCCTAGAAACTGGCATTAGAATCAACAGTGTGTGGCTGTGTCTCTAAGGCTTAATGTGTTTTCAATATGCAGCAACTTCATTAACACGTGACCTGAAGAAAACATTACAAAATAGCTTTAAAATAAGGTACAACTGATCAGTGTTTCATGGCGAAATGTGGAAAATTAAACAGACTTTGGCTCTAAAGCTTTTCTAAAAGCCATGAATATTTGAAAGGATGATAAACTAGAAAAGACCAGATAATTCTAAAGATGCTTATTGGTAATCACATGCATAAATGATATGACATATATTCATGTCGTATAAAATGTAAACGTGAGGAGCTGAGGGGTTAAGTGATATACCTCGGGTCTGTGCAGATGAACAGACTCAGATATAGAGTCGGGTAAATAATACAACCATCTATGTGAAGGTAAGGCCAGCCTCATGGTACACTTTGAAGACTTTCTCAATGGCGTTGACGTAGGCCGCTGTCCTCAGGTCTAGCCCAAGGTTATACCTGTTGGCTGTGCGCATGATTTGCTAAAAGAGGAGAGATGAATTATGTGAACAAACGGAGCAGTACTTTACATCACAGAGGCTCTTCATACATCAACTAGCCTAAACACACACAGACTAGTACGCTGCCTCCCGAGACGGCATTTTAAGGCATCATAGACATTCTTCTTAATCATTCTAAAATGAATCTTAATTATGCTGCCTCCAAAAAAACCTAATTTTACTCAAATTCTAGGGCAGCATCGCATGTGTCCTTTGTGGAGAAGCCAATATAAGAATACACTAAGATAAGCTCAGTGAGAAAATGAATCCAAGA